GGGGGGGGGGGGGGGGGTGCAGGTTTCTTGGTGCTCTGAGGTCCAACTGGGGATGCCGGGCTCACGGGCTTACCGGGTGGGTCTGGAACTGGAACTGTAAGGGCGGGCTTTCGGGCGATAACATGTATCTTTTGAGATATAGAACGATCGAGCTTCAGCTTGAAACACAAGATTTCTGAGACCTGGTTGCAGCTGCTGAGTTCACAGAAGGTCTCACCAGGAGCCTCTCCAAAATCATGGTCTACACGTCCTCAGCCCTACAAGGTATCCCGACTCTCAGAAGCACTAGACTCTCCACCCTAGCACTCCCAGCACGACATACTCCAAGAGTCCGGACATGCGAAGAAGAGCACAGAAGCCCAGAGACTTTCGAGCCTGGCTGCCATGCGGGCGATGCGGGGCCTCGTAGGATGCTGCCTTGCAGCCCTGCTCTGGCAAAGATCTGGTTCAGGCAGCCCGAAGTCTGCCGACGAAAAGCCGCTCCTGGAGAAAGTTCTACGCTTGACGCGGTTGGGTTTAGGAGTTGAGGGCTGAGGGTCTAGGTGCTGTCATTCGTATGCGAAGTTGTGGGGCTTCTGGAGTCTAATGTTGCAAAGATGTATCTCTGACGGAAAGCAAGATTTAGGCCCTACTTGTAGGCTTTTAGGTTTGTGGTTAGGGTCAGGCTCTGGGTTAAGGGTTGAAGCTGCATGGGGACTGCTGCATGATCAGAGGCTGGAAGCAGGGATGGGCAAACGGAGCCCGTCGACACGCAGAAAGTCATAGAAGGGCTTGCTGATCTCCCGAACCGTCGTTGCCGTGCAGGCTTTTTGGTGCCATCACCCGGAGCCAGCGTGCAGCAGTTCGCGGGCAAGGCAGGCGTGTTTCGACAATTCCTGTAGCGCCAGAGGCCTCTGAGTGTTGGGTTAACTGTACCCGAGACAACCCCTTTAAACCATGCAAAGCTTTGAACCTACCGTACGTTATTCCCGGTCCTCCATCCAACTCAACAAGGTGATGCACTCGAAGGCATTGCCTAAGTTCGTCAAGACAGTAGGGTAGGAGCTCTTGGACTATCAGGATAGGCTTATTTCCAAGGCACCAGGGGCAGTGCCTCTGCAGCTTGAAAGAACCCTCAGAAAACTGCCGGGCTTTCTAAGTCTGAATCCTAAATCCTGAGCTTGAACACTACACCTCAGGGAAAATGAGGGTAACCCGCAGGTGCCACCGCGCCTCCTTCGAAGGGCAGAGGCCGAAGGTAGCGGCAGGGGAAGGGCAGAGTTTTCGTTGCTACGGAAGTCGGACAGCCTCAAGGGTTTTATTCCGTGATTGGACGAAGACCATGTCAAGCTCGCAAGCTTGGAGGGTACCCTGCGAGTTTTTGAGTTTTGGGGAGATGAGAGAAGCTTGTCAGGTTTTAGCGCACTGGTGCCTGCAATCGTTTCGTTGTGGCAGAGAAAAAGACGTGCAAGCACCATGAACCAGCAATGAATCCAAAAAAGAAGTCAGAATGGGTTCCGTACTGTGATCCCACAGGTAAAGGGGAAGGGTCCTGCGGCCTCAGCTGAGGGGCTAAGATTGGTATCCGGGGTGGTTTGGGCGTGGCTAAAATGAGGTTTCGGATTCAAAAAAAATCCGATCCGAGAGCCTAAAACAAATGCAAAGACTCCAGGAGCGGCGGCGGTGGTAGAGGAGGAGAAAAGCAACTCGGTGAAAGCCTTTTGGAAGTTCCTCCGGCCCGGATGCTCAGAAAAGGGTTCAAAGGTGGGGACTTCGGATGTACGATGTCGAGTGGAAGGCTTAGTTTGTGGATGTTTGTGGGCTTTATGCAGGTCGGCATGGGCATCCATGCTTTGACCATGCTGTGGCTCAGTCTCGGGGATAGCATCTTGCACCTGCGCGATAAGTCCCATCGCTGTTATGACCAGGGCCTCATTCCCCGACCGTGTTTCAGACCAGACGGGTCCCTGGGCCCTAGCGGGCCGAAGTAGGAGCATCCTGGATCCCCGAAAAGGCGCATTTTTTTATACGAAGAAGTCGTGAACTGACCATGTCCCCAAAAAGCCAAGAGTCCAGCCTAAGCCCTTGGAGCGTCAATCCGACCAACGCCTTCACAGCCGAGGCCTCACACCATCCGGGGGACCATCCTAGGCGCCTCTGGATTTAGGGCATGGGTTTTGGAGCCATCCGTTTGAGGTTTAGGGTTTAGGTTTGGGAGGCTTGGAGTTTAGAGTTTGGGTTTAGGGCTCGGGGTTTGGGGCTTCAGGCGTTCAGATCTCATCGGAGGCACCGTGGCACAAGGCTCAGGGATTACGAGTTTCGGGTTGAACCTTGGTCTAGGACATGTTCAGCTGGGTAGTTACCGTTATAGGAGCCCTATCGAAAGTCTATATACCTTGTAGAAGCCTTTTCGAATCCCTATATACTCCTTGGGTGTCTCATTGCTTGGTGCTAGCGGCCGCTAGTGGTTCGGGGCTCAGGCATTCGGGCTTGCGGCTCGACTAAATTGGTTCGGGTTGAAGGGTTCCTTTCAGGGTTCATTTAGATTTAAGGCTTCCCTTTGGAGGCTCCTGTAAGGGAGTGGTATCTTGGAGAACCCCCTTCCGGTGGTCTAGAGGGATTCCTGCAAGAAGTTGTCCGAAGGGTGTGGAGTGCAAGACACCCGAGGTTCCGAAGAATGCCGGACAGTGGGCTCTCTTGGGTCATCTTGCTCTGAGTTTCAGCTGTTGAGATGAGGGGTGGGGTGACTCGCTCTTTTGAGCACTCCCCTCTATTAATACGGGCTCAGCCACCCTTAGCATGCACCCAAAGAAGCGACCGCCCACAATTCTTGAAATACACAAACCCCCTGAAGAATAAAACCCTCCCAAAGGCCCTAAACCCCTCAATCCCAAAAACCTAATCACTGTTTCGGCAGGCTCGAGTGCTATGGTCAGCCGCGCCGTGCTCGAAAATGGGCAGGCGCCAGATTGGCTGGAGACTTAGAACCAAAGCAACGTGTTGGGGGGCTCCCTGTTAAGTCTCTACAACGGTTCTGGCGAGTTGCCATCGGGGGTTCTACTACAGGGTTTTGTGCTTGTAGGTGCATGGGGGTTCAAAGAACTGGGGCACCCCCGTTTGGGGAGTCAGATACCAAAGATTCCATGTAGGGTCTTTGATAAGGTCCCTGTTTTCGAAACTCCAAATCAACTTCGCAGACCTTGCGGAACTCCATGGTGATTTTTGTTATTATAGTATTTGGGTGGGTTTTGGTGTGTTTCTGTCGTTTTAGCTCCTGGGATGGATTTCTTGCAAATGTTCAGTTGAGGACCCTGTGGTTCTAAGGCGCGGGGCTCCCGAACTCTGCTGTCGTAGGGTTGTCGCCCTCAGCATGAGAGTTCCATAATCAGAAGTAGCTTCAGGCAGGAGACTATAGTAGATCCCACTTTTGCGGGCGTGTGCTGCATTCCGCACTGCTGTTTCTGCTGCTACGTAGCCAGAGGGTATGCACTTCGGGCCGCGAATCACGCCTTAAATGCCGAGGTCTGAGTCATTGTCATAACATCCCCCTGTAGTCCTACATTGTTCAAGGTCGGTTTGATCAGAAGCGGCACCTCTCTGCCCCTTGGGGACGGTGGGGCGGGGCGGGGGCCGGGGAGGAGGGGCCAGGGGGTGATTTGCCTCAGCAAGCGCGACGCCGCCCCTGCATGATGGGTTTCAGGCTATATAGGCGTAGTGATGTTTGGGGGGCTTTATAAGGGAGTTGGGCAGTTTAGTTTTGGGTTTGGCGGTTCAAAGGGCTCAGAGGGTTTAGGGTTGGGGTTTAAGGGGTTAAGGTTAAGGGTTGGTAGGGGTTAGGACCCTGAATCCAGGGTCTCATTTCTTATTCCCAACGATCTCTTATGGAATGCTAGTAGTCTAATTTTCCCCAAAACCTGCTCTGGTCATTGAGACATTAAACCTTAGACCCGGTTGCTTTTGAAGAGTTCAGGGCTTCGGGTGAGGGGCATCAAGCCCTACACTGAATTCCCTAAACCCTTGCTCCTGGAGGGCTCACCGGTGGGCCTCTGAAGCCACGGTTCCACACCCTGAAGAGTCGCCAAGCTTCCGCTCCGAGGTCTCTGCTGCCCACAGCAGCACTGGGCGTTTTGGCTCTGCTTTGCGGCGGGACGCCCAGCTGCTGCAGCAGTTTAGGGATTGAGGCGCCGAGCGGTTTCACACTCAAACATGGCAGACAAGAACTAGAGCATCTGGGCAAGTATGGCGTGGAGTTTCATCAGCAACAGGACCCACAACCTTCCTCCTTTGTCGTAGAGTCTGTTAACCCGCTCAACTTGACACGTGTGGTTGAGTTTGTCGCCGAAGCACTGCTGCAGCCATCATCTTCAGGATCAGAAACATAATTTCGTTGTCATCGCCTCCATCAGTTTCACCGCTACCACAATCAATACCGTACTTCTGCTCGTCAACATGAAGATCATGATTGACGCCGTGTTCGCCTCCTTGCCCTCTTCCTTCATCACCGTCTTCTTCATCATCAGCATCATCATCATCACAAACGGCATCACCACCGACATCTTGTTCTGCTTCATGGCCATGATCGTCTGCAACAATATCATTCAGACTGGTGTCACAGAGTCCAAGCCCACTCTGCTCCCAGGCAATGGCTACATTGTCGGCATCAACCAGATCTACGATGTCAGCATAGCAGTGGCCACAGAGAGTGGATCTTTCCGTCATGTGTCGGCATAGTTGCAGACGTCTACCCCTGTGCTCCCGGTTAGACATATGGGAGATTCAGGAAACGCAGCAGGATCAGCTCCCCCAATGCTTGAAGCAACCCTGAGCGAGCCCAAAACCGAAGCTTTGTGGAGCCATTTCTTTTACTTCAGGACGTCATCAACAAGCCCTTCCTGCCTGTGGCTGCCAAGGAGCTCTCGATCCCACAGGTGCTTTCGTAGCAGCTGAGTGGGTAACATCCGACGTTGTCTAAGTTTGTTGAACCGTTTTTGCTCTTCCTGGTTTTGTTTTTGTTGGGTGTTTGCCGGTAATGGTGTCGTGGCTCGGGTATTACGTAAAGTTTACGGCTCAGGGCTATGGGTTTTGCAGCGATGAGGGGGATGGGTTTCCTCGAGTAGGATCGCGCTAAGGTGATGGGGTTTGCGGGGCTGCGGGTGCTGAGTTCACCTGCTTCTTGACCTGACTATCCCGTGGCTTCGGGGTGGCAGCACGGAGGAGTAAAGGATTTAGTTTGCCGCTACTGCTCCTGCTCCTGCTGCTACTGCAACTGCCATTGTTTTTATACTCATGATGATTCCCGTACCATGACGCTTACTGCAGATCCTCGTTATGGGGTTGGATCTCTCTGGCAGAGTCGGTTTTACATCGCCACGTTCTGGCCGAGGCCTGGGTGCTGATCATCCTCATGGCCGTTTGTGGAGTCTGGGCCGGATTACATCCCAGCACATGAGCGGTAGCATCAGCGTATGCTTCTGTAGAAGATTAGTTGTGTTGTCTATTTGGCGTTTCGAGTTGCTGTGCATGGGTGAAGTGTAGGGAATGATGGAATGACGGCAAAGGCAACAGAGCACGTAGTCCAAGCACTCGGTGCCTCTCACTTGTAGGGCTCTCTGGGCATGAAACCCATCGGGAGTTGTTCCCCACTTCTGTCCCCAACTATAGGAGTCTTTTCCCTGATAGAGCCCTGAAGCCGCCTACTTACGATCGCAGCTACTGCCCTGAACTTCGCGCGCACAGCCATGAACTCCTGAAACGACCACTCCGAAGCTCCGAAGTCTCCAGCTCCAAAACCCGAAAAGAGGGCCAAAAAACAGAGCAGGGGGCTGAAGGGTTCTGTAAAACACTCTTTCTGCAACATGCCCATACAACCCCAGCCTGGAAGCCTATCTTTTTAGGGCCCCGCCCGAAGAGTACCCCTCGAAGAGCCCAGAGCCCTTGTGTTTTTGTTGCGGACAAAGACATCCCGGGTTGTAAACCCTAAACTTGCCCTAAACTAAACCCAAGCCACAAGGAACTGGTCTGGCCTTTCACCTCTTCGGCCTGGGGCCTGGGGGCCGGTCTTAAAAAGGGGCCTTGCGATTACTAGAATGGGGCTTTTTGGGGGGTTTTGGGGTTTGGGGTTTAGGGTTTGGGGGTATATTATACTACAACTATAGATAAGGAGCCCCAAAAATGGTATTGGTAACTATTTAGGCCCCCAACTAACCACGGTGCAATCGCTATCAACGACACAGGCGCGGATGCTAATAAAGTTCACGGGCCCTGAGTATTGAACGACATTACTTCCTTGTAATAGCTTCGATCTTGTAATATATGGTTGATGGTATAAATCCTGCATTACCCAAAATGAAGGAATATACCATAATTCGCATAGTTTATGGGGTCCTTAAGGTAATGCAGGGTTTAGATCATCAACCGTATGTACCTTCTACTTGTCAAAGCCGTATCTCAGAGGGGAGGGCTTAGGGATTCGGGTCGAAGGGTTTAGGTGTTCAGGGATGTTTTTTTCGAGGCATTGGGGTTCAGGGGTTTTGCTGCTGGGTTGGGCTTCAGGATTCAGCTGCTTTTTCGATCTTTTTGGAGTGCCTGGTACAGAAAGGGCAGTGTTTGATCGAAGCACCACACCGTTAGAGCCCAGAACCTGAAGCTCCGAAATCTTGGCTCCACAGGGGTTGGGCTGAGAATCGGAGAGCTCCAAGGGGGAAAGGTAGGGCTATATGGAGGGATGGTGGGGACTTTGAATGTGAAAGGCAGCTATGCTCAAATACCCTTGCTGCAGCAGCCGTTGTGGACTGGTCATGGCTGAATTTCCGAAGTCTCGACCCCCCCACACAATATCAACCCCAAACGCAAAGAGGCCCCCTCATCGGCTCTCTCTATGCTTTTGGCCTCTTCCTCGGCACCATCTACAGCGTACCGCGGGGTGCCCCAGAGACCAGTAGGCCCAATTCAGAGGTCTTAGAATCCTGGGCTCGTTCAATGCTCTGAATGTCGACATGAAGTCTCAACCTTGCTAGCCTGGGCTCACATTTTAGTACTACAGGGGCCTCTTCTGTTGGAGTTCATATTGGAGTCTTTTGGTTACGGAAACTAAGTTGTGCCTTAGCTGCTAGGCATCTGGCTCCAGCGTAAGTTCTTGCGAAGTTTTGCTTTGAGATTAGCAGTAGATTGCATGGTAGCAGGGCTTTTGGCCTCTTATTCCAGAGCCGCCGGACCCTCACTGCTGCCCTGAAGGATCACAAAAGCACATAAACACATACCATTGACGCCTATTGCAACCTGCCTCTTTCAGGGGCATTGCCTTCGAAATAGAGGTTTCCAGTGAGCCCCTATGACTCCAAAGCAGAGCGGCTTTGCTCTTCAGCCCAGGCCCCTTCGTCTCAAAAAATCGGCCGTTGCCGCGGCCCTCATCATTGCTACCGTGCGCCGGGAAGCCAAGACGGTGGTTTTCAGTGGAGGATTCGGGATTTCTTCGTTTTGACGGATTTTCGCGGCGTGGTGTTGGGTATTTGAGGTGCTGAAAGGTACCATCAAAACGCAAGCAAGCGTGATGCTGGATGCGCATGATACAGATGATTTTTTGGGGGATGATGATCATGGCGATCATGATGATCGTGATGACGATGGCCGTACTGTTGATGAAGGTCTGTGTGAAGCAGCAGGGATGGTATGTTGGCGTTTACGGTAAGGGTTTCTGGCTTGCCAGAGTTCGAGGCTTCTTGCTTTGGTTGCAGCTGTTGGGGGATGAAGGTCGGAACCCCTGTACAGCCGCCATCGAACCACCGTGGAAAAGCACTCCAAACCCGTAGAAAGCCCTGAATAACCACCCTAAGCCATCGTCACCCCTTAACATACCTTGCTCGAATTTCCTCAGGTCTCTACGGGTTGGATGTGGGCAGAAGTCATACAGTGAGCCCAACAGTTAGTCAGACTGTCGTGCCCCAGCCCCCAGCAGGGCCGACTTTGCGACCGGGCCAAGCTTAAAACGCCACAACAAAGCTTAGTGTCGTAGATCGAGCTAGGCTGGGAACCCGGAAGTCTTACTTCAGGATACTGTAGAGGCCTGAACAAATGAATGGGCTTCTAGCTTCCATTACATTGTACCTATTTACAGGGACTTGAGGGAAAAGCTGGGAATGGTCTATACGGTTTAGGGTTTGCTGCACAGCGTCTGTTCTCCAACCCCTAAGTTTACTGTCTGCCCTTTTGAGGACAATGACCCCTTGCAAAACTCTCGCAGACAGTGCTGGTCGAAGCCCTCACTACGTAGCGGCGTACGAGGCCGTTTCAGGCAATGTAGTGTTAGCAGGGATTGGGTCAACTGCGTTCTGTGGCATTTTCGGCCAACGTGTTTTTGAAAGCCCCTTCGGGCGTCCCCTGGCAAGGTCTCAATCCTCCTTTGTATCCCTGAGAGCCAGATTCCAAAACCTCATCCCAAGGACCCGAACCCTGAAAGAAGACATCCTGAACCTAGCCCGAAGCCCTGAGCCCGAAAATTCAAAAGAAGTCAAGCCCTTGAAGTGGACGCCTCGAAAGTCCAGGTGGTTTTCTCCTGAACTTCGGGGTCTACTATGCCACGAGGGCCATGCAGGAGCCTTGTTCAGGGCCACAAAGATCAAGGAGTTCAGGTCGCCTCAATAATTACCAATACTAGTTTGAGGGGCTCGTTGTTATAAGTATAGTAGAATGGGCCCCAAAACCCTATTCTAATTCTTACGGCCCCTATGGTAGGCACATTGTTTTTGGTTGCAGGATCGGAAAACGGGCGACGTCTCTTCTGGAAGAGCATAGCTGCAACCCACGACCTAGACGCGAATCATACACGTGTCTTGGTGATTTCGTATACGCAGCTGGCACCACTGATTTTTACAAAGGAGCTGCAATCGTCCTTCGACTCTAAGCAAGCCCTACGAAGCACGGAAAATGCCGAAGAGCCCACTTGCGAGCGGTAAAAAACTTTATAGATCCTTTGGCGGTTGGAGCAGAACATGACCCTCCCTCCAGAATCCCTGAGCCCCCAAAGCCTCCAAACCCCCCCCCCCCAAGTCTCTCACAAAGCCAAAATGGTCAACACTCAGGTTGAAGGTGCCCTTCGGCTGGAGCTACCCGACCATCTTTATCACGTGCTTCTGTTCGGCAAGGGCCTCAAAAGTGCCGAGATATGGGTGTTGACGCGCTCTGTTCATATACCCTGCAACTCTAGTCTAAATCATAAAGGCCCTTATCCTATAGTCTCAGTGACTTTGGCCAGGCTCTTGGCACCGCAAGCTTAGAGCTCCCAAAGAAGAACCCACTACTTGCAGTTTTCTGACTTGGCATCAGATTAACATAGGGGCCTTAATAAGTACCTATACTATTTTGGGGGCTCGTTATTATAACTATAGTATAGTATACCCCCAAAGGTTAAAGCCGCAAGGCTTTCAGGTCAAATGCCGCAAAACCCCCAAAAAGCCCGAAACCTAGACATCCCAAAACCGTACAGCAGCAAGCATAGCAGAGCATAGCAGCCCTTTGCCTAACATGCAGACCATGCAGGTATACGCCCTGGTCATAGCAGTCACGAAGGATCGCTCCGGAGCTCTGTTCGAGATTCGAGTTTAGGGGTTTAGGGTTAGGGTTATAGGATCCAGGATTCACGACTCTTGCTTCATCCAGAGAGGGTCGGATATAATTGATCACCAAGACTTCACGTATGGCCCTTACTACATCCAATGCTATACAGTAGCTGTTCGAATTATTAAGGCTCCTGTTTCGGTTTGAGAAGTTTCGGGTCCGAAACCTGGGTTTTGGTTTGAAGACGGACGTTCTTATGCATTCCAGGGCCATCTTGATTCCTCCTGGGACACAGAACCGCATCCCACCGTTGAGGGCGAGTTGTCGCTGGTACTGGGACTTATTTGGGTTAAAACGGTTTTGCACACAAGGCTTTTAGTGTCTCATAGGGCTTTCCGTCTAGACTGGGGCCCGAAATCCTCAACCAACTTTATGAACATTGCACAGGCCAGGGATGAATCCTAGGACCCTAAGACTCCATACGTGTGAAGAGGGCCTTTCAGTTCAGCCCCGAGGACACCTCAACGCCTAAGCCCTGAACTCAATAGTCCCTCCCGTGACGCGAGCCTTCCACTCAGCCTGAACTCCTAAACCTGTCAAAAGCCCCCTCACCCTTGAAGGCCATCCAGAATAGCTTATTTTGTTTATTGGTTATTGGTTGAGGTTTTGAGGGTCTTGTTTGCCTCTCTTAGACAGGGCTTGGCGCGTCCACTCGGTATGACACTGCCGTATCATTACATATCATTACGTATATATTATATGCTATATATTTCATATTATATAGTATATATTGTATATTATATATTTTTACTATATGTTATATTATATATATATATATAATGAAGAGTTCAAGCAAGCTCACTTTGCTGCGGCAGGACCTACCTGACGTCCAGGGTGATCTGGAAAACAAGATAGAACCTCGGCGGCAAGTGTGGGTGGATGTGATACAGAGCAGAGCTCGCGGTGGATGTACAAGATACTCATCATCCGGATTCTCTGGCATTTTGGAAAGGAGGTTCAATCTTGGACACACGGCTGATCTGATAAGGCTCGGCAGCTTGTTCGGACATTCACACTATCCTTTGCCTCAGGACACCTTCGCCACGAGATTCGGCGTAGGCCTGGCTTTTGGTGTGCTGCGGAGGAGCCCCAATGTCAACCCCAAGTTGCCAGGCTCTGTGGCCACTGCCGCCTCGGCGGCACTCCTGGCCAACTATGCTGCTGCGCTGGCCGGGTGGTTTCTTGTGATTTGAGAGGGGGGCGCCATCAGTCTGCTTCATATGTCATAAGACTGGTCATGTAGGTTGAGTGGCTCACTCCATGCACTTTCTTCCTTTCGAAGGCTGCCTGAGATGTGAGTCCTGCGTTTTTGGCTTTTGGCTTCAAGCACCTACGGACTCATGGGCCTCGAGCATTGACAAGCCGTCCGAAGCTGAAGGCAACGACTCTTAAACGCCCAGCAGCCCTCGGACCCTAAGTTCCTTGTAGTCCGGGTGCCCTTTTGTTTCGGTGCATACTCGGGTGCCCCCATTTTCCGAAATCTGCTTGTTGACCCTTGCCCCCAGCAGTTCTCAATCGAAGCGGCAGGTCTGGACGGCAAGCCCCGCCGGCCATGCGTTTCGCCCACGCGTGCTGCTGCCTGGCACTCAGCCGGCAGGTGACTACAAGTACGTCGTACTCAGCTACGGTGAAATGAAGTGATGGTCATAGCAAATTGGGGTCCCCTTTTGGGTCCCCAATATAATAGTAAGGCACCCTTCTAAAAGGGACTCTAAAAGGCACCCTAAAGAGGCAGGTGAGGATGTGGCAGAGAGCCGAAGGCGGAGTGCTAAGACGATGAGGCGCTGAGGGTGGAAATACCGTAAACTTTGTAGATTACACCGATGTAGGCTCTGCAGCTTGACAGATGTGTTGCAGGTGCGATCGGATTCGTCGTGTTTTGCTGTAAGGACATCACATTGACTAGGTTTTGGGGCTGTTCGTTATGGCCGAGGGTTTCGTAAATCTCTTTGGACCTTCTTTGGTGCCCTCGAAGCAGCCGTGTCTTCTTGAGAATCTTGGCAGGTGGTTCGAGAGATAGGCTTGTTCGCTGTTACCGATGCACCCGGGGCCAGCAACCCTAAGATCGCTAATGAATTAAAATCTTGAAAGGCATCAAGCATGCAGCATACCCCCTAAGAAGATCTAAGAAGGGACCAAGACTCTGCCTAAGTTAAGCCCTATAAAGCCTTGGATCTGAAGTTCCACCAAGGTCGGCGCACGCAGTCCTCGCTTTGCTCTTGGCCCGGACCTCGGGTCCTGCCGGTTCAGCGGATCTTTAGGGTTTTGGGCCTTGGGTGCTCTGTACCCGACATACGAACTGCTGATCGCCCGAAGGCCGGCCGGTCGTAAGGAAAGGATATTTTCTACCACAGATCTCCGATAGTATGGTAACAGGTCCTTGGTGCTGGAGGTGTAGTGATTTACTTGCAAAGTTGACTGCTGTGTTCTATACAACGACGATTTCCGGGTTTGCGAGGGAAGGTTGCGACCCCGGTCATGATGTCATGCAGCAGCCGGCGAGGCTTGAATTGATCAGCTGCCCCTGCCCTGAGACAGGGAACCTGAAAGGCCCTGAACTCTAACTAAATCCGCAACCTAAAGGGCCTGAAGCTTTTCGAACATGCTAGCCTTGGGCTTGAGGGTTCAGGGGTTCGTGTTTCGCCTGCGGCTTCTTCAGCCCGAGGCCCTGTGCCCGAAACAGGAAACCAACACCTTTCGTAACATGCCACATGAGCCTGGGCCTGATTCAAAGAGTGTCCATACTCGAACTGTATAAGCTATTCGGGAATTCCACATTGCAACACACCACCACTAGGAGGCTTCTGAAAGACCCCGCACCCCACCCCCGCCACCCCCCAAGTCCACACATCCGAGACGCAAGACGGTGAGCCCTGCACCCCTATCCTGAACACCCATACGAGGAGCGTCAAAAGCAAGCTCCAGAGGTCCGTGGTCTCGTGCGCCTGAAGCAGAGCAAGTTCAGCCAAGAGGGCTTGAAGGCTTTCTACAGGCTCCTGGTGGATCCTACAGGGCCTCTTATTCAGTTTGTTCGGTTATTGTTATAAGTTTACACGCTTTCGCATTGAAGGCTTGGGGCTTGCGGGGTTATTTTTCGGTGTAAGGACTGAGTTTTTTTTTGCGAAGGACCGCATGTTTAAGGGCCGTCAGGTTGGCATCCTTCTGTTCCTTCACGCTTGCTCGTCCTTTTCCGGCTTGTCCTCGCCCTCCTTGTTGTTGACAGAGCGTCTGGCTTGTGAGTGAAGCTCATTGTTATGAAGCATGCCAGGTTCCATTGTTTGGCGAGCGAGAGGATCACATGAGGTGATATTGACGGCAGGGCTTCTTTCTCCGTTGCGAACTGCATCAATCAAAATTGGAGGTCTTTGGCTGCCAGTGCCCGATGTAGCGTTGGGATGGTCCGGGCTTCGTGCTTTGGATTCCGGTGCTCGAGGGTGCCGGAGTGTCCTCGACCTTGGTCAGCCCTACAATACCCTGATGCCAGAACACCCGATGCCCTAAACCGCCCAAATCCTTACCCCTAACCGCAACTCGGAATCCCATACCTTACACATGAGTCATTCAGAACTGCTACAGCCTCATTGAAACCAGATTTCAGGCTCATCTGGCTGCTGTTCTACTCCGAATACTTCCTCTTTCCCTTTGCCAGAGCCTCAGCCCCCCCTTTTGCCTCCAGGGGTAGGGTGCACCGGGCTGAGCTGGTGACTAGGCCATGTGGGAGTTTCCCAAAACAGGTTTTGGGTCCTTATAATAAGGATCCCACTACTTAGGGTACTTTATTGGGGTCCCCTATTTTCGGAAACCCTCATGTAACAGCCACTTGTGTTGGAACAGGCAGCCCTAGCAGATTATCCAAAGCTCATGGGTTCATGTATCGCTTCATGTCAGTCCAAACCTATGTACAGAAAGAGACCCGTAGTCAACAGTGCCGTATGCCGACGGTGGGAACGTTTCTGCACAGGGTCCAGCTTAGAAGGGTGGATGCCCAATTGGAGGATGCTTGCCGAGAGACTCTTTGATGCTGAGGTCCAAGTTCAAGGTTAACTGCGCTTTAGGTTTGCAGTTAGTTCGGTGTTCACAGCAGAATCAACATGCTGATGAGGAAAAGGAGCTGGCAGCAGTCAGAAAGTTAAAGAGTTGGCATCCCCTGGATCAAGTTCTTCTCGAGCCTACAGGGCTAGTTAAGACAGAGACCTGCCGGCATCATGGCTTTGCGTGTTTGGGGGGCACGACAACTTGTATGTCGCAAGCCAGCTCCTCGTGTAGCTCCTCGTGTTGGTGCTTTCTGTCTGGGTGGCAAACGCGTGATTTGCCCATCTCAAACCTAGCAGCTTGCTGGCTCGGTGCTCGATCCAGAACAGAACCCTCCAAGCTAAGAACTTCCGCACTACTGCGTTTGCTTAGGGCCCCCTTAATTCAGCTATGTCTGAAACTTGTGCCAGGTATGAGCAATGAGGATGGTGCCGGAGCCTTCCGATGCCTTTGGGCCACATCGCAAAGATAAGCCAGGCACTAACAATCTCACCGTGCCCCAAAGCTAGCAGCCTTCCGTTGATGTCCTGGTTTGAAATAGAGGTTTGGGTATCCCTGAGCCCCTGTGCAAATCCTCGCGCCCCCCCCCCATGTACCTCGAAAGGCAACCCTCCCAGAAAAAAACAAACCTAAACCCTAAACCTTATAAAACTTGACCGCTGGATCTTCAACTGCAAGAAAAGAGAAGGGCGCAAAAGGTTCGAACATGCAAGTCTTCAGCTTGAAGCCGAGCGAGCCCCGAATGCAAAACCGTAGCCACCAAGCCTGGAACTCTTGTAAAGCGCTTATCCCTCCAAGGATGCTCTAAGCAAAGCGACATACTCTACTACTACAAACCCGAAAGCCGTAGGCCTACGACCCTCAAATCCTAAGATGCTGAAACCCAAACCTGCAAGGCCCTAAACCCTGATTACTTCAACTCGATTCCTTACTTCTCCAACACCCAACCTTTAAACTTCTTGGGCTCTTATAATTTAGTAGTAATCTGAAAGCTTAACCCTTCTTTATTTCCCTGAGTTATTCGAGAGGTAAGACTAGGATTCTGAAAAGGCCAGGCCTTCGTCTTAGGCAGAGCCAGGCGGCTCCTGGCCCCGATGCCGGGTTTTTCCTCCCAAGATCGGGGCTTACCTTGAAGTATTGCCGGTGCCAGGATATATCGGGCAAGTATTATATACTACGAAAAAAGTTTAAAAGGCAAGAACGATCACATTCGCAATTGTGGGATTCGGGATGCGCCCTTAGACGGGCAGGCGTCTTAGAATGTAGGGTGCGGGGTTCAAATTGCGATGGTTTGAGCTTTGAGGCTCGACAAGGATGTAGGGTTGAGGACTCGGGTTGAGGGCTGTGTGCTGCGGAGCTGGGCTGGGCAGTTGCTTGTGTAAGGCCAAGGCCTGATAAGCCCTAAACCTAAGAACCTAACCTCATGGAGTTACTTGGTTGTCGTAATCTTATAGGTCATCATTGTGGCATTCGATCTTGGCATTGGTCATGAGCGCAGAAGCCACCAAATTTTCTCATCGGCGCGAATGAGACGAAAAAGGAAATCCGGAGTTTGTCTAGGTTCTCTCGTCTTTGATACTTTGTGAGTTGACATACGGTTCCCTCCATCGTGGGCGTGGCAGTCTTCAGACTTCAGAGGTCTTCTCCAAAAAAGCCGGAGAAGACCCTTGGAGGGAAGAGCTCAAGGGGGGCAATGGTGCAAGACCTCGGTCCCCACATCCTGAAGCCTGTGATCTTTGAAGCAGTTCTTGGTTGCTTCGTGGCCTGGGCTGTACACTGTAAACCCTAAAAAGCCTTAATCCCAAGCCCCTCAGCGTTGCATTTTCGGCCCCTCACTCCGGCTGCCTACGGTCGGAGGCCCAGGCTTGACGAAGCCATCGATCTCCCTCGCCGCCTCGTCCTTCGAACGGAAGAGTCATTCAATTCTCTGCAGATCGACCCAGAGAAGCAGACTCCTTCCACTTCTGTTCTGATTGTCCGTAGAACGACACTGATGATGATGGTGATGATGAACACGACAAAGGCGAAGATTCCATGACTGCTCTGTCTCGGATGATCTGGACGGTGAATTTGACGGCGATGGCACAACTATCCGCACCGTGGCTCTCCTTCCGCCTCTTGCCAGGCACCGAAGAGGCCGAAGAAGAGGCGGAAGCCTTCAACATGGAGGCCAGCTTTAGGGTTTAGGGGGTTAGCGGTTT